ATACCATGTAAGCAAAATGAAGGAATAAAATCACATAATCATATCAATATATGCAGAAAAAACACTTGACAAAATCCAGCACCCATTTATGAAAAACACTCCTAGCAAAGAAAAAATAGAGTGATCATACCTCAACATAATAAATGCCATATATGAGAAATCCACAGCCAACATCATATTCAGTGGACCAAAACAAAAGCATTTCCCTTAAGATAAGAAATGAGATAAGAATGTCCACTTTCACCACTTTTATTCCACATAGTACTGGAAGTCCTACTCACAGCAATCCGAAAAGAAGAAATAAAAGACATCCAAATTGGACAGGAAGAAGTAAAACTGTCACAATATGCAGATGACATGATACTGTATATAGAGATCCCTAAAGATTCCACCAAAAAACTACTAGAATTTATAAACAAATTCAGGAAAATATCAGGATACAAACTAAACACTCAGAAATCTGTTACATTTTATACACTAATAATGAGCTATCAGAAAGGGAAACTAAGAAGACACTTCTTCTTACAACTGCATAAAAAAAAAGGTGCATAGGAATAAATTTAATCAAGGGTATAAAAGACCTGTACTAAAAAAATTATGACACTGAAGAAAGAAATTGAAGAAGATGCAAGTAAGTGGAAGCATATGCCATGTTCATGGATAGAAAAAATTAACATCATTAAAATGTCCATACTACCCAAAGTAATCTATAGATTCAATAAAATAACTATCAAGATCCCAATGGTGTATTTCACAGAACTAAAACAAATATTCCAAAAATTTGTATGGAACCACAAAAGACCCTGAATAGGAACATCAATCTCGAGAAAGAACAAAGTTGGAGGAATTATGCTACCTAATATCAAACTATACAACAAAGCCATAGTAATACATTGGCCTTGTATTACTAGTATACTACAAGGCCATAGTAATACATAGCAATAGAAAATAGCACCATACTGGAATAAAGACAGACATATAGATCAATGGAACGGAACAGAAAGCCAAGAAATAAACCCATGCTCTTATAGTCTATTAATATTTTACAAAAGAGGCAAGAACATACTATGGCATAAAGACAGTCTATTCAATAAATGATGTTAGGAAAGTTGGACAGACATGTGCAAAAATGAAACTAGACCACCTTCTTACATCACACACAAGAATAAACTCAAAATGAATTAAGATTTAAATGTTAGACTCAAAACCATAAAAACTCTAGAAGAAAGCATAGACAGTAAAATCTGAGACACTTCTTATAGCAATATTTTTTTCTGATCTATCACTTTAGGTAAGGGAAATTTAAAAATAAAGAAATGGGACTACAATAAACTAAAGAGTTTACTTTAAAATTTTTTAAATTTATTTCTTTTAATTGTTCAAGTACAGTTTTCTGTCTTTTACTCCCATCCCAGCTCACCCTCCAGTGCTCCCTACCTCCCTCTCATTTCCTTAGTTTTTGTCAATGTATCCTTTCCTAAAGAGTTTAGTAAAAGACAAAATTAAAAGACAACACACTGAATGGGAGAACATATTTGCTAATGATCCATCTTATAAAGGGTTGACACCCAAAATTAATAAATAACTTATACAAGTCAATACCAAGTAAAACAATCCCATGAAAAAATAGGCAAAGGTTCTGAATAGACACTTCTCCAAAGAGGACATACAGGTAGCCAATAATCATATGAATAGATGCTCAATGTCACTAATCATCAGAGGAATGCAAACTAAAATCACAATGAGATATCTCCTCAAACATGTCAGAATGGCCATCATCAATAAATCAACAAGTGCTGGCATGGATATGGAGAAAAGGGAACCCTTCTGCATTGTTGGTGAGAATCAGATTTGTGCAGCCACTGTTCCAAAAACAGTGGCATTTTTTAATAGATGTACATCCAGTTAAAAAGTTCCGAAAACATTGGCAACTATGAATTATACTTAGAATAGGCAGACTGTATTGAAAGCAGAGCTGATTTGGTCTCTGCTGGTCAGCAAAAGAAATTAAAAAACATTAGCTGTTTCAGTACCTTAGAGTTGCAGTTTATGTGCTTTGGGGATTGTTACCGTGGTATTTTCCTTTTAAAAAAAATGTTCCTCTGTAGCCCTACAAGTTGTGATAACCAAGCTTCACTAGAGATTGGTAATATTGCTGACACACTAGTTCAAGGACAAAGGTGAATGCACAAATCCGGTGAAATGATAAAATTCAACTACATCTTTCAAAGTTACTAATGAGGTCATGAGGATCAAATGAGAAGTGTTTGGTACTATGCCTTGCAAAGTGGAGAACCAGAGAAATATAAGAAGTTATAAAGAGCCACCTAATTTTACAAACAGCAAAACACATCTCTCTGGCTTGATCATCTGTCTTCTGCCTTTCTGTTTCTCAAGGTCAAGTTTTTACTGACTGGTTCCTGATCAACAACTGCTGCTGGGGTGTTTAGTTATAACCCCACTGCTATCTTCTCACCACTGCAGGAGCAGGGCCCTGTTTACCCTTGAGGTGATAAATTGGACCTGCTTAATCCTCTGGCTTTCCCACCTCTTCCCTTGAGTTAGAGGCTGGATGACTTATATTGTACATTGGGTCAGCTATGAACTAGGTGGGTGTAGGGAAAATGAAATGAAGAATGGACACATTTCCTCGAAGGTTTTTTCCTAACCAGGTAAGGGAGGCTAGTTTCTCTAAATAGGCAGTGTCATTATCAACTGCTTGGGCAGCTATCAATTTTAATCAGCCTGTGGCACAGGGTCTGTCTATAAATGACTACAATTGTCTCATACCAGGCAAGGAATCCCAATATAATCACCACCATTCTAGTTATGAGGTTTCCATTCTCTCTCTCTGTCTCTCTCAGACGCACACACTCTTTCTCTGTTTACTCTTTATATAAACTCTTAGGCTAAAGTGGTATGTAAACCAACTAACTAAGACCATTTTTTCTGTTTACTTTCGGTTTTTGAATGTGTGTGTACTCATGCTTATGTGGTGTTTGTGCGTGTGTGTGTGGCTATGATATTCATAGTCTGGAGGAATGTGCTATTGCTTCATCAGTTAAAAGGGAAAAAAACATATCTCACCAGCATCTTACTTGTTTCATCATTGCTTTTAGCTTTATTCATTATTGTTCAGATATCAGGATTGGAATCTCTGAGTGGAAAATGCAACGGTAGCTGATGCAACTTGAAACAATTTAAGGATTTCTATTATTTCTCTTTTTAAAAAGATTTTATTTATTTATTTTTAGAGAGAGGGAGAAAGAGAAGGAGAGAAACGTTAATGTGTGATTGCTTCTCAAGCACCCCCTACTGGGTTCTGGCCCACAACCCAGGCATGTGCCCTGACTGGGAATTGAACCGGTAGCCCTTTGGTTCACAGAACAGCACTCAATCCACTGAGCCACACCGGCCAGGACTATATTACGTCTTTAAATGATAAAATATGGTCTACACTAAGTCTTACTATTGGTTTACAAGCCTTTCCGAAGACAATCTTATGTTTGTAAATTACTATTCTATAGCTTGAATCAATGCTTTATTTATTTATTTTAAAACATAAATTTTAGTTCAGTACCTTTTGTTTAAATTTTTCATCTTTATGAAGGACTCAGATAATACCAACTTGGAAATCTTGGCTTTGAGGTTTTATTTTTAATAGAAAAAAACTGTCTGTTAGAGAAAATGATCTCTGTCTGTTCCCAAACAACCTGGTTTCTCAGGCTATCTTAAGAGTTTTATTTCACTTTGATTTCCCTTACCAGTTTCTATCTTATCACTCTGAATAATCAAATCCCCATAAATGTAAAATGCTTTCTCAGTTGAAGCTGCTGCCTTTAAGAACTTGACAGCCTCTTTCTTATCTCTCCCCTATGAGCTCATGCCAAGCCTCCATTGAAATGTATCTTTTCTTCCTCTCAGAAGTTATATTGTGTCATATTTGGGAATATGATGTTTGTGTATATTTGACTTAAACTGGAACATTTCAACAAACTTATTTAATAATCTCACTGATCAGATTTTACATCAATCTACCAATCAATCAAAAATATTTAGTTAGAAAAAAATATTAGTTAGCTGCTGATGAGATTGAGAGCTAAGTCACATGTTAGACGCAAGTGAGGCATGGCCTTTTGCTGCTTCTGAGGAGGTTTGCATTCTATTACACATAACCCCAGAGGTTTGCATTGCAGCCCCAGAGTTCTAGGAAAAGGAGACTCTGGCTACTTTGCGCCCACTGCTGTGCAGACCCTGTATTTTGTATCTGTTGTACATTCACTCAGTGTGATGTTTGGTAGGGTTGGTACCCTGCCTTATGCTGCCAACTCCCATTTATCTCTGGGTGTTCAGCAACTAGCACAGTGCATGGCACATGCAATTTCTGTGTCTTGATGACTGACGGAAGGGACTGTTGGTCTAAATATTCTTCAAGTTCCCCTTTTCCCTAGTTCTGAGGTAATAGTCACCATGCAGAATCCTGTGCAGCATAGTGCTCTTTGTCAGAGATTAAATCTGTGATTTTGTCTCTTTTCCAGAAACAGGCGCCAGAGGTTTGCCCCAGTTGCCTTCATGTAGAGTTACTCATTACACCCATCCTGCCCTCCTCCCCACTCCAAGGTAAACAAGCTTATCTGAGAGATCAGATTATGCTGTTGATAAAAGAAGACGTCCTAGTTGGATTTCAGGGCCAAAGGGAGTAGTACAGGAGTCATGAGAAGACTGGTGGGAAGGAAAGTGACTAGCGCTGTGTTCCACAGGATGGCAGACTCCTGAGGCCATCTGGTTAATGAACCTGGTTTGTAACCCCAAAGAGGCTGGGTGTTGGAGAGGGGATGATACTACAGTAAGAGCAGCATACCAATGCCCTGCTTCAGGGGAGGCATGGACCTTTGCCCTGCACTGTGCTCTGGGGAACAGTTCCTTTGGCCTGTTGTTAGAGGCTCAGGTCTAAGTGCTTGTTAATCTGGCTACTTCTCTCCTGTCTGAGGTTTGGAGCAGACATGTATAAGTCTCCCTAGTTATGAAGTGTGGGTTCTGTTTTATCAGCGTCCTCCTCATTTATTTGAAGGTACTTCTCACCAATTTTATGTTCCATGTGTAACTTTGAGACTAGGGATTACACCTTCTACACTGTGGGTGAAGTGAGGAACGGTGGTGAATTTTGAGCTGGAGAGAGATAAGGTAAGTGGAAATTTGCCTCATTTCATTGGAACAGAAAGAAAAGCTGCTCAGGCCCCAGGTGCTTCTAACAAGAAGAATGTTTGCTTTCAATGTCCAGTACCTTCAATAATCATTCTGCAAATGTTTGCTGCCCTGTGTTTACTCTTCAGAACCTCTGTAATTTACTCATTTCTTATTCCTTTTATGTCCACATCTGATCACAAGCTAGGGTGTAAAGTTCGTTGCTGTCTTTAGACTGATAATACTAAAGTAAGGAGTCTTTTCTAAAAGTGTCTGTATTTTAACCAGCATAGACCTGTAAACCAAAGAATTAAAGCTCAAATAATGAATTTTAAGTGTTGGCCAGCAAGGTCTAAGATATTTTGGAATCATCAGATGTTTTTGGTTGTCCTGAAATGAACTGAAATATGGTAAATTATTTGCCCCACCAGAATGGTTTGGAACATTAGTGCTGAGAGACATTTTGCTTAAAGCTCTCATTGACATAAAAATTGAAGGCTTAGGTATAAGATCTGAAACCATGAAACTCCTGGAAGAAAACATAGGCAGTAAACTCTTTCACATCTCTTCTAGCAATATTTTTTGGAAAAGTTTTCTTGGGCCAAGGCAACAAAAGCAAAAATGAACAAATGGGGCTACATGAAACTTAAAAGACTTTTGCACAGTGAAGGAAACCATTAACAAAATTAAAAGATAAGCTACTGAATGGAGAACATTTTTGCTAAGGGGTTAATATCCAAAATACATAAAGAACTCAAACAACTCATTAAAAATTCAATTAAAAATGGGGAGAGAACCTTAATAGACTTTTCTCCAAAGAAGACATGCAGATGGCCAACAGACACGTGAAAAAATACTGGACATCATTAATTGTAGGGACAATGTAAGTGAAAACCACGATGAGATATCACCTCACACCTGTCAGAATGTCTCTCATGTGTTTGTGAGGATTTGAAAAAAAATGAACCCTTGTACACTGTTGGTGGAATCATAAATTGGTGCAGCCATTAAAACATTCCTTAAAATATTAAAAATAAACCACCATATAACCCAGCAATTCTACTTTCTGGGCATTTATTTGATGAAAACAAAAACATTAATTTGAAAAGATAAATGTACCTGCATGAAGCATTATTTAAATAGCCAAGGTATGGAAGCAGCCTTGGTGTTCATCAATAAATTAATGGATAGAGAAAAAAGTATACACACATATACAATGGAAAATGACTCAGCCATAAAAAATGAAATCTTGCCATTTGCAACAATAGGGTTGCAACTAGAGGGTATTATGTTAATTGAAATGAATCAGACAGAGGAAAACAAATACTGTATCATTTCACTTATACATAGAATCTAGAGAAACAAAACAAATGAACAAACTAAACAAAACAGAAACAGATTTGTGAGAAACAAAGGACAGACTGATGGTTGACAGATGGGAGAGGGTTGGGGGATTGGTAAAAAAAGTGAAGGGGATTAACAGGTACAAACTTCTGTTTATAAAATAAATAAGTCAGTGATGTACAGTATAGGAATACAGTCAATAATAGTCAATAATATTGTATTAACTTTGTATGATGACAGATGATTACTAGATTTATCATGGTGATCATTTTATAACTTATATAAATGTTGAATCATTATGTTATACACTTGAAATTATATAATATTCTATGTCAACTATACTTTAATAAAATATATTTTATTGGCGTTTATGTTAAGTATCTCTTATGACATCAACCTTCTTAGCAAAGCATGAATGTTCAAAGAGCTCTTTTGAGGAGCGGCAGTCATAAATCTCCCATTCGCTCTATCACCAGGCCTAGTGGTTGGGACTGAAGCCTGGAGTTCTGCAACATTGCAACCTGATGTCTGTGTGTGCACCCAGCTTGATTTCATGGGAGTCCATGCTGCCTATGGGGGAGGAGGGACGGGTGGCTTTCCTGCAGGCTCATCCTTGGACCTCTCAGGTTATGGACATTAAAATGGCACAAAGGAAGGCAGGGATAATTAGGAGAAGAAATCCTTAGTTTGATAATTTAATCAACTTCCTTTTGTCCATTGAGATCACTAACAAAGGTCTGCTATTCCTTACTTTGTGAGATGTCTCAAGGACACACCAATTGAACCTGTTGAACTTGCTTGCTCCATTTGTTTTGTCTTTGTTAGACTCTTGCTGGGGATTCAGTTCTCACAACATGGCCATCCCAATTGAACCTGAAGCTCCCAAATGCCCTGTTATTCATGAAGACTTCAATTCCCCACAGAAATCACCAGCTCAAGCTTATAGTCCCTCAGCCTGGATAGAAACTTGGGTGTCTACTTACCCAAATAAAGAGGTCACACTAGAGGCAGAAAGCAGAGTAAGACAGTTGTATTAGCTTTTCAGTGATGAGTCACATACACATTTAGCAGCTTAAAAGAACACAAATTTATTAGTTTCCATGTATTAGGAGTTTGGGTGTGAATTAACTGGATTTTCTGTGTAGGGTCTCACCGGATTTAAACGAAGGTGATATCTGGGGCTGTCATCTCCTTTACACTTAAAATCAATCTCCAGAATTCCTGGTTGCTGGCAGAATTCACTCCCTTGTGGCTATAGGAATTAGGCTGCTTGCTCCTTTAAGGTCAGCAGGAAGATCTCTCTGCATGCAGGGAGGGGCCCAGCCTTTCTTCTAAAGGGTTCACCTAATTGAAATAAGCACATCCAGAATAATCTCCCTTCTGATTAATTCTAAGTCAAAGCTTAAGTACACCTGCAAAATTTCTTTGCTTTATGATGTAATATAAACACAATTGTAATACTCCATCAGAATCACAGGTCCTGACCATTCTGGAGGGTAAGGGATTGTGGAAAGCGTGCACACCAGGGAATGAGTCATCTTTGGGTCATCTTGAAGTTCTGCACACCAAATTTGTGAGAGAACATGATCCTGGGAATCAGACAGTGTTGGGTTCAACTCCCGCTCCTGGCCAATATAATTCGTTAAGTAATATTTAACGAATATTTATTTATTTGTTAATATAAAAACTCCCGCTTTTCTTTCTTTTTTAAAAAAAGATTTTATTTATTCATTTTTAGAGAGAGGGGAAGAGGAGAGAAATATCAATGTGCAGTTACCTCAGTTGCCTCTCATGTGCCCCAGACTGGGGACCTGGTCCGAAACCCAGGCATGTGCCCTGACTGGGAATCGGACTCGCGACCCTTTGGTTTGCAGCCCGCACGCAATCCACTGAGCTACGCCAGCCAGGGCAGTAATATAGCTCTTCTGATACCTGGATTGTCAAGTGAGAACAGCCATCTCTCCTGCATGCAGCATGATTGTAGGAATTTGAGGCAATGCACATAAGTATCTAGTACTGTAAGTCCTCCGTAAACAGTGATATTATGATAAGGGGAGAAGATTCTGGTCTTGACCAAGGAGGGAGGGGGGAGAGGTGAGTAGATGAGCAGTAATGGTGACATGTTATGAGCTTGATTATTGCCAAAAAGCATTTGAAGGCTTTTAGAATATTGAGCAACATCTGCAAGCCCATGTAAGGAGTGGGAATTTGTCAAGTGATAACTGGGTAGTTTCACATTTATTTTATGTTTTCAATTAGTTCAACCTAAACCACAAAATTCAAATAAAGAAGATGTGAAAATTCTGGCCCAGAACATGAAAACTTTAAGCCTCTGATTAGAAGAGTAGATTGAATAAAAATAATTTTCTTATTCTTGTAATAGAACTTAATTTTTCTATTTATAGAAGTAATATATGCAAATTATACAAGTTGGAAACTGGATCTAAATGTAAATAACATAACCAATACTCATTTCAGTTTGTGTCCCTCCAGTCTTTTCTCCTTGCGACATCTATGTTATTAGTGCCATTGCATGCATACATCTATAGGTACCTCTTATTTATCCTAATGAGATCACAGGCAGACTTCTCCTTGTTTGGACTACTTTTAAATTAAAACCATTTTAAATGGCTATGCCCTTCAGAGATTGCAATTTTACATTAGTTTGTGCAATTATTTAATTAATGTCCTTACTCCCCAACTAGAATATAAATTCCATAAGACTAAAAACCAGGTCTCTTTTGCATCATTGCATACCTACCACCTAACAGTACCTGGTACATGGCAGGGAAACTATAAACATTTTTCGAAAGGCCAAAAGAGTAAATAAAGGAGTCTCTTGCAGATGTGCCATAATTTGCTTTGGATTCTAGTGTTTTTAACACTGTTGTCATTATTATAAATGAAGCTGTAGTGAGCATTGCATATAAATAATTTCTCATGTGTAAATTGGTTAATTCTTTACACTGTTTGGAGTACAAATTACATGCTTCAGTTCCCAAAATATAATGTATGAGAGTACTTACAGATAAATACTATATTATTCCTATCGGTATAAAAAATAGGCAACAATCTATAATTTGTTAGATGTGAGGATCTGTTCTCATTGCATTCTCTTGGGTTGCTGATTACAATATAGGACACACTGACTGTTGATTAATAATTAAATTTGACAGGTATGGTGCAAAGTGGGTAATTTGTGAATATGTTTTGTATTTTCCTGATGCCCTCAAATACTTGGGAGGCATATGGATACAGTAAAAGAGATGTTTTTATGATGAGACTGCAGTAGGCAGAATTCTAAAAATGGACCCCAAGATTTCATTATTTAGCATCCAGAATCTGTGAGTGTAATGAGCTATCACTACCATGCTTATGTCATTTTAAATGGCACCGTTGACTTTAAGATAGGAAGATTATCCAGGAGGACCTGATATAATGATGTGAACTCATTTGAAAATGATTGTTCTCTAGTTGGTGGTAGAAGAGGAAATCAGAGTTTTGAATCATGAAGGAACTGGGATGAACTGCTGGCCTTAAAATGCAGAGAACATGTGAGAAGGAACACAGGGTGTGTCAAGGAGCCGAGAGTCTTCTTGCCAATAGCCAGCAAGGCAATAGGGACCTCAGTGCTACACCTGTAAGGAACTAAAGTC